GTGTGTGAAACCCACTTAATTGTACTCCCAAAATTTGTGGTTGCAGGGTCGAAATCACCCCCCCGCTTTTCACTGACGCTACGGGATCCTCTCTCTCTCTGTTTCCCTATTTTGTCTACCCTTCTTAAAACTATTATGGTTCCTGCCTCCACACTTCATTTTGCTGGGCATTCCATTTGCTGACAACTCTATGACTGAAGAAATACTTCCTAACGTCCGTGTGCCCTTCTACTTCAGTTTCCCAGTTTGACCCCCCTTGCCCCGTGTCCCCTCTCGGAACACCATCTTGTCCACCGTCTTTTCCCCCCGCAGTTCTTTATGTTTATCATGTCTCCCCTACCCTTCTGTCCTCCAGTGCGCAGTCCGATTTCCCTTTAAACCTTTCCTCGTACGACTTTCCCGAGCCTGGGACAGCCTTGTTGCAAACCTTTGTACTTTCTAACTTCTTGATTGCTGACCAGTGTGGTTCCAGACGGGCTGCAACTCCAGTAGGGGCCAAAACAACCAGTGTCCATTCTTGAACGATCCTTATTAAGGATCGGAACGCATTCTCGGGTTTGCCAGGTGCCTGTATGCTGCCGGTTATTTGGTTGATGGTGCCTCCGTGATGTCCGGTTTTTAGGGTCACCCCAAGGTTTTTCTCCCTGGGGAGGTCGTAGCTTTGCCCACCTAGCCTATACTCTGTCTCGGTCTTCTTTGCCCCCCCCCAAATTTGTTACAAAAAACGGATTCAAAAACTTAGAGATCCCAGTGAATACAAAAGGGCTCCCTTCTAGCATCACCTTTTAGGGGTTTTCGTAACAAGAGTCAGATCCTTGTCCAATTACCATTAAAATTCATATTATTAAAAGTGCTTGGTTTAACAACGGTAGGCTACTAACTAAGAAATTAAAAATTTTTAATAAATTTATTAATCATAAGTTGCTAGAGGTAATTATCAAATTAAAAAAAATTTAAATTTAATCACAGCAATCAAAAAAAATCAACTCTCGAGTTCAATTTTATTGTGCTGATAGCACATATCACATTTAAATAATTTTTAAGTACTGCGGGTACATTAACTTAAAAAAATTTACAAATATTCAAGTAAGTTTGTGTATGTGTGTAAGTGCTCAATATTCACTTTTTCTCACGACTCCAAACCCTTAAATAATGCTGACAAAGTCCCACATAAATCCCTTTTTGACCGACGGGCAACCAGAAAAGTCGCTTAAAAAGAAAATAATGCTAAGCCCAATACCATATAAACAAAAGCGACACAACAGGATCAAGGAGATAAATAACACACTAAGTGGGGACCCACAGATCCCCAAAAATTCAAAACCCCATACTACGACTAAGTTCAGCATAGGAAAAAACCCTGACGTAAATACACAGAAACCAGTAAAAAAATTGGGTCAAAGCAACAGCTCGGGACCTAGATGCTCAGAGTGTCTATGTGCACACAACCCAGTACAACGTCGAAAATCATGGAACAGGTTCACAAACAACAAAAAAAATAACAACAACTGTCCCCCCCACCAAGCGAGTCTAAGCAACTGAATACTTCACGAGGTGGGGGACACCCCCCTCGATCACGTGATAGCCCCGTGGACAGCACAGCTCAAACCGCAGTATAACGAGCGACAACGAAATTTACAGTATTTTTGACAATCAAGATTTAAACTGAGCACTATTAGTAAAACCTAAAAACAAATCAAAAAGAATATAAAGCAAAAAATTTTTTTACGATTTACTTTTATCGCAAATATAACAATATAAAATTATATGAAAAAAAATAAACATTATATAAAAAACATAATAACATTGTAACCCATTGGGGGTTGCAACACCCCCCCCCCAACACAAGGGGCGCCAAGGGTTGCTTTTAATGTCCTTTCACATTTTTACTGATTACTACCCAAAAAAAATTAATATAAATATTAATAAAAGCCCCTTTTGGCCCAAGCACCACTAAAATTTCACAGCGCCCACTAGGATAGCCCCAGTACTAGGGCATTAACAGTTCGTACTCTGCTACCGGGTTAATACATCAGTTAGGACGGATAGCTAGACGACGGGGCACTGAGGCTCGATCATAGTAGAGGAGACTGCATTCCACCTTAAGTAGTGGTTGTGAATGCGAGGCAGTAGAACTTTGATTATAAACATTTAAAGGTTGTAGTGAGGGGGGGGTCTGGGGCAGGACAGTGTTGCGTCAGCAGTACATCACCCCCCCCCAACTCCCCACTCAACACTCAGCTTGTCTCCCCTCACACAACATACTGTGAATACATAAAAAAATAATTAGACATGCATGGTATATTATATTTTAATATGGGCTGGAGGGTTTAATTTTACTTTACTGAATTTGACATAGCAATAAAAAAGGGTTTGGGCAAAAAATTTACGTAAAAAATGTAACGAAATTTTTAAGGGACGAGACAGAGCGCAGCAATTACATACAAGCCCACTATTTGTTTTATACTAATAAAAAAGGGTTTGGGATTCTGAGGGCCACCTCATAAACCAGCATTTTACTTTTCATGGTGTAAATAAATGGGGATTGGGGCAGCAAAACGTTAATTTTTTAAATGGGGAAGTCCCCAAAAATACACTAAAAAATTTTCCAAGGACACCACAAGACTAGAGCCTCTTTCTCAATATGGCATAATTTTTCTGGTTCTTTTTAAGTTTAATGTATAACATATAGGAGGAGAATATCAGTGAAGTTACTGTTGAGCAGCAAGCGCCCACGCATAACACCGCACTTAGAAAAAAAAGGGGAAATTGAAATTGGGACTTTTCACCCCGGGCAAGGATAGTAAGCGCTTAAACCTTTTGAACGATCGAACAATCCTATCCGGGTTAACTAAAACTTTGCTACATAACTCAGTGAGAGGAGCGCAATCGAAAAATTTGGACAGAACCTGCATAAACCCATACCCAGGAATCTCGACTCCCTTCCTATCATTGGCCGAAATTCAAAAATTTGCAGAACCTTAGCCTCAAAGAGCAACCTCACCTGGGCCGAACAAAAGCCAAAAGGTAATTTTGGGCTTGACCAAAACTACATTTAGCTAAGTTAACAGTGAAGTTGAATGCCCAGCCCCAAAACAATGCTCTAACGCGTAAGTGCTTTCCCACTCGTCATGTACACCACTAAGTCTCAAGGGAGGGTTCTACCCTTTTAATTTTGGGGCAACTCGTTCATTATACTTTTTGGGAAGAAAAAGCCGCGTTACATAGCCGAAGGGGGGGACGAGGGAGTTTAAAAAACCCCTTTAACATAAAAGCAATATTTCTAGGGGATGTTCAGTAAGGGGGGACTTAAAAAGCCCAAAAATCAAAACGGCTGACAAACTGGGCCCTGACACCGATCAAAAGGCTCAATGCGGAAGGAAACCATCAGGGAAGGGGGACAGAGTTTACCCTGTAAATCGGCACACCTGAAACACCGTCAGTTTTGGCCCTAAAATACAGGGAATGCCCAGGACTTTTACGCGTTCAATAATTTCCCTGAGATAACAGAAAAACAAACCTCTTCTCTCAATGCTTTTTGCTTTGTTTGGACTCATCTATATGGTGACTTAATGGTGATGCTCGCTGTACATCAAAGTCAGTCACCCAGAGTACAACGTTTAGGAAAACACCGAACAATTCGAAAGCAAAATCAGTTTTTAAAATCACCAGCTTTATCAATCCCCCAAGGGACTAAGAAAAAACGTCTAGTGACGTAACCAGAATTTTTCTAAACCACCCAAACCCTAGAATGTCAGGAACGACGTTTTCTTCCGCCAGGAAGAATAGAAGAGTGGGAGAGGGCAGCGAGTAAGCCTTGAGCTGGGTTTAAAATGGTACAATGATTAGTTTCTTTTTCCCAGGCTAAACCAAATAATTTACGTCGCTAAGCTTTTCACTACTTCCAGGGGACCATCATACCTGCTTGTAGAGCAAAACCGGGACTAATTTTTCGAGCCTCACCTTACTCGTCTTTAAAAGAACGAAAGCACCTTGTCATAAGTGCTTTTTCTAGCTTGGGCGAAACTATTTTTTGAAACTAGCTCTCTAGCGGGTGTCCAAAAGTTCTGCATTAAAGAAGGGGAAGCCAATGAGGATTTATTTTTTTGTCCACACGTCTTTTTAAAACTTGGGGGGACCACGCACTTGTTTCCGAAATTAATTCAAAGGGCTAAAACCGAACTTTCTTCCACTTTCTCTCAAAACGAAAAGAAGAAAAGGTATACCCCATCCCATCCCCTAGAAAAATGTTTACAATAAGCCTCACATGGACTTCAGGCTGAGAAATTCCTCAGAGCCCCTTTTGACTGGATGATAAACTGGGTTTAAAATACAGACTTTATTCCTGGGGGATAATGCTTTTCGAAAAAAACTTAGAAGTGAAATTAGATCCCTGATCGATAACTCTCGGGCAATCCAACCTTTGGAGAAAAATTTCATCAGCGCTCTCACAAACACGAGATTAATTTTTCTCAAGGAAAAGCTTCGGGATAGCGTGTTTCGTTCCATAATAGAAATAAGTATTGGGTTTTTCCCAGTTTGGTTCTAGCAAAAGGGCCAACACAACAAAATAAGACTGAGAAGTTCACCATGCACGGTGAAGAATGAGGGCGCAGTGGGGGTAGTCGTGGCTTGCCTGTCACTTGACACACGTGGCAACCGCACAGTCACTACTGTTTTCCCTTTTCCTTTGGCCAGTAAAAGTTTTTCCAGTTTTTCCGAGTTCTTCTTACACCCAAATGTCCTCCTAGGGCTATTGTACAAAATCAATACTTGTTCACGAAAGAACTGGTAACACACGAAAAGCTTACTGTGTGGAAACAACACTGAAACTAAATGTATTTTTTTCCCCTCATACAACCCTTACATAATAGTAACAATTATCGAGCTCCCTTTTTCTTCACTCTATAAAATCTATATCTCAAAATCTTTTCCTGCTGACAACAAACTGACCTTGATTAAATCACATGATTTGAAATTTAACCATTGTGTCTTTACAGGTTGATGACCGGGGGGATAGTTTTTAAGATCCTGGCGCAGAGCGTCACTAAAAACATATTCAACCCAAAATCATTGTCATCCACTAACCAAAAGGAGCAAGGGGGTTGTTTAAACTTTGACATAACTCTAGTAATTTTCCTGAGAAAATAAAATAGGTTTTTTCTCACAAGCTTCAATGGGATAATTTTCATCATTTATCAATCACAAGGGGTTTTTTTACAATACCACATAAGGAACGTTCCCTATCAAAAAGTCCATGCCGATGGGAAATACACCACGGGTATACCCACGAAAAAAAACCAGTATAAGCTTGTTCAATAAAACTTTGTGCAAGGCACTTTTAACCCCCCTCCATGCTTTAACAAACTCTATCTTGCAAAAAGGGACGTCAGTTATGGGGATACCTTCTCTTAAAAACGTGAGATAACTGCCAGTGTCTCTGAAAAAAATTACTCAATGTGATTCGTCAAATCCTACTTTATCTCTCGAAAAAGAAGGACTCAACGCTGAAAGAACTTTTCGTCGTACACTTTTTTGACCTAGTCATCAACCTGAGAAACATTATCTAAACATAGGACAGAGGTATTCTAGGGTTTTGGGGCCTTTTTTGCTCGGAAGAGATACACTTTTTGGGGGGGGGCCGCCAGCCGCACGACTGTATCTGTACTCTTTCTAACTTAAGCAATACTCTCTCATTTCCTTTTTTTTTACAATAGGTACATTTTAAATTTTCTTCTTCTCGATATCAATTTTTGTCTACCACAGAGACAGATTCAGGGTTTTGAGTTTTCCTGGTAAAGGGACGAGAAGTTTCAGACAGTAAATCAGGCCGGAATAGCACTGATTTGGTGCCAACTTCTGGGCAATCTTTTGTTACCTTTTTTTCTTTTGTTTTATACGTACAAATTTGTGAGAAATCTCGTAATTGTCTGCTAATCTGCGTTTCCAGAATATTTGAGTAGATGATCGATCAATATTCTTGAAGTCCGCAGGCAACATTGTTAAACCTTCGGTAGTAACAACTAACAAAACTGTCGTAGTTGTTACACTTGGCAGACCTACACCACCCGAAATGCAACTTTTCTCACAGCAAACTCTACACAAGTTTATCTTTTCTCGTTTTAAAAAGTACGAAAAGCCCTTTTATAACTTAAAAGAACAATTATTGTCCTAAATATTTTTTTTTGCACATCATAACTAAAGTACTTTGGGAAAAAGGCAAAGCTACAGACAGGTTTTAGCTCTTCCCCTCAAGCAGTATGCAACAAGTTCCCAGTGCTTAGTGGCCATTTATAGCACGTCCTGTTCTCAAAAACCCTCAAATATTGTCTAATCACTTTCAAAAAAAATAGGAACCAGGGGGGCACTTTTTTGCACATTAAATGTGTCCTGTGATCTTCAGTCTTTTTTCTTCCCCAACGAACATTTCTCTTTGGAAATCTTCTTTGTTCAATCTCCTCTGTGCCCAAATTTTTGCTCTGCAACAAAATAGGGTTCAAACCCTCAAAAATGTTCCTGAAGATAGGACCAGTAGGTAATGGGGGAGTAGGGGAAAATTTAAAATGTCTTTCTGGCGTCCTTTGGGCGGACACCCCGTCCGCCGCTCTAAGTTCTGATCGGTCTAGGTAAGTAGATCAGGGGAAAACAACACAGACTAGCGTGACTTAGCTACCACTATACCTGTACAATTTCAGTGAGGGGAAAAAAAGGCGTGAGCGAAACTGACTACGCAGCCAGACACAGGGTCACTTCTCTCTATTGCCTTTCATCTTCATCAAATAAGTCATACTTCCCCAATTTTGACACACTTTTTGAAACGAAAATAAACAGACACTCTGTAAAGCAGGAAACAATATATCTTTAAATTTAATGCCTTTACTTCAGCTGTGTAAAAACCTGTTTACAACACCGAGATACTTGGCTACTTTCCAAAAAGTCTGAATTTTAATGACTTAACTCAGACAAAGCAGAGAACAATTAACTGTTTCACCCTTTTCAACATACAAAATAATTGTATACAAAATGATTATGGAAACTAATCCTAATAGGGAATTTTTTGTGTTAGTTGTCTTTTGAGTTTGAAACCCTAAACAGTATTTCCACTCCTTGGGTCAAGGCTCAGTCAAGTACATACACCCACCGGGAAGTTGTACAAGACAAACTCAAAGTCTTCAGATTAGGGAAATACTCAAAGTGTTTGATCATAGAGTTACTAGTATGTCCTGGACAATTTCTCCAACACCTTTTATCAAGGCCTCCCGGACAGGCCCCCATTTGTTTCAAAAAATGCGATTTTTAAAAGCTTTAAGATCCCGGGAAACTAGAAAGGACTCTCTTCAGCATCCACCGTTCTGGGGGTTTTCGTAACAAGTATCAGTATCCTTGTCCAATTTTTCCATTAAATTCAGTATTTTTCAAAATGCCAGGGTTACAACGTAGGTTTCTAACTAGAGAAATTAAAAATTTAAAATTTTTTTAACATTAATTGTCTGAGGGAATTATCAAAAATTAAAATTTAAAATTTAAAATTTAAACAAGCAAACAAAATAAAATCAAACCTCGACATATTTTTTGGCGAAAGCACATATCACATTTATAAAATTTTTTAGTACCGTCTGGTTTCATTTAAAATTTTAAAAAGAATTTCAAATTGTAAAGTAAGTTTGTGTAAAGTGTTAAGTGCCTAAGATTCACTAATCTCACGACCACTAGACTTAAACAAGTGACTGACAAAGTTACTTTTAAAAATTTTTTAGGGAAACCAAAAATTGTTAAAAAGTAAAGTAAAAAACCCCCCCGCCACAAAAAAAAAATTTAAAAACCAATGGCCAACCCCCAGACCTCCCAAAAATTAAAAAATTGAACAATAGCAAAAAAAACCCCCTGGACAAACAATAAAAGAAAAATAGGGAAAACACACTGGGACCTGAATCTCAAGGATTTACAAAACCCCATACAATAAAAACCCAAGTTAAAATGCAAACGCAACAAAAAAACAAGAAAAAACAAAATCGTCCAAACCAACAGCTGGGACTGAAACACAGAGGTGAGGACACCCCCCTCGATCACGTGAAAGCCCCGTGACAGCACAGCTCGAAGCCGGCAGTATAACGAGCGACAAGCGAAAATTTACAGTAGTTTGACAATCAAGACTTGAACTGAGCACATATTATGTACACCCTAACAACATAAGTCAAATAAAATATAAAGGCAATATATTTACGCAATATAAGCAATATAAAATTATATGAAAAGATAATATACATTATATATATACATAATAATCATTGTAACCCATTCAGGGTTGCAACACCAATCTTAAAGATTTTGCATTTGGCGGATTGAATTCGAGAAGCCAGTTGCTGGACCACATGTCCACCCTGTCCAGGTCTCTTTGCAGTCCGCTTCATCCCTCACCGATTAATTCTTCTCATCAACTTCACGTCATCTGCGAACAGGGACACTTCAGAGTCTATTCCTTCCATCATGTCGTTCACATATATCAAAAATAGCACTGGTCCAGAACTGCCCCCTGTGGGACCCCGCTCGTAACAGGCACCCCTGTGATACCTCTTCACGTACCATGACTCGTTCTGCCTCCCTGTCAGGTATTCCCTTATCCATTGCAGTGCCCTCCCTTTTACGTGCGCCTGATCCTCCAGCTTCTGCAACTAATCTCTTGTGGGGAACTGTGTCAAAGGCCTTCCTGCAGTCTAGGAAAACGCAATCTACCCACCCCCCTCTCTCGTGTCTTACTTCTGTTACCTTGTCATAAAACTCCAGGAGGTTTGTGATACGAGTTTTTGCCTTCCATGAACCCATGCTAGTTTTCATTTATAATCTTTTTCCCTTTTTCCAAGTGTTCGACCACTCTCCTCCTGATAATCTTCTCCATGACTTTGCACCAAAACAGTCAGAGACACAGGTCTGTAGTTTAGTACCTCGTTTCTGTTTCCTTTCTTAAATATGGGGACTACATTAGCTGTCTTCCATTTCTCAGGTAGTTGCCCAGTTTCAAGGGATGTTTTGAAGATTGTGGTTAAGGCACACACAGCATCTCTGCTCCTTCTCTAAGGCCCCATGGGGAGATTTTTGTCCGGTCCCATCGCCTTTTGAGGTGTCAAGGTCACTTAAGAGCTTCTCACCTCCTCCTCAGTTGTTCGAAGTCACCAATACTTGTTGGTATATTCCTCTTGATGTTCCCTTCTGTGCTGTCTTCCCACAGCCCCTTTCCCGTTTCTACTGTAAAAACTTCTTTAATCTCCTGTTCAGCTCCCCACATACCTCCCGATCATTTCTTGTGAGTTCTCCACCTTCTGTCCTTAATCTGATCACCTGGCTTTGACTGTTGCTTCCTCCTGATGTGGCTATACAACAGTTTCGGGTCAGTCTTGATTCTCGATGCTATGTCATTTTATACTGTCGCTGGGGCCCCCCTCCTTACCTGTGCATACTCATTTCCCGGGTCTGCGACTGATCTCCCTATTTTGTGTGTTCTCTGCCTTCTGTACTTTTTCCATTCTTCTATTGCATTTTGTTTTTGCCTCTTTACACCGTCGGGTAAACCAGGGGCTCGTTCTGGTCTTCCGTTGTTACTGTTGCCCCTTTGGGGAAAAAACCTTTCCACTGCCTCCTTGCATTTTGTTGTTACATATTCCATCATTTCATTTACGGCTTTCCTGCCATTCACTGTCCCACTGGACCCCGCAGGAAGTTCTTCAACCCTATGTATCCCCTCTTTTATAGTCAGGCTTTTCCATTCAACTCCTGTTTTTTCTCTCCACTTGCAGTTCTACTAAGTATCAAAACACAGAACCACGTGGTCGCTAGCTCCTAGGGGACTCTCATACTTTATGTCCTCAAAATCTGAGCTGCCCAGGGGGAACACAGGTCCAATCTTGCTGGTTCATCCTCCCCTCTCACTCTGGTAGTGTCCTTAACATTTGGTGCATGAGTTTTTCCAGCACCACGTCCAACATCCTGGCTCTCCATGTTTCGGACCCC